TACGGAATGACTCTGACCTGGATGACTGAGAACCTTAATCAGCATGTTAAAAAAAGAGTTTAGCAACAGCTGCGCCATCATCCTGACTGAGTCATGGCTTCATTCGTCCAAAACGAGCAAAGCCTTATACAGCGCCGATAGAAACAGCAAACTCAGCGGTAAGACTAAAAGAGGGGGGTTGTGTTTATATAACAATTGGTGTAAAAATGCTAGATCTGTCGCCAGCTTCTGCTCTCCAGACAATGGGTTTCTGACTGTTAACTGCAGGCCGTTCTATCTGCCCAGAGAGGTCAGATGAAAAAGAGGCCATGAATGTGCACACAGAGGGCATTTTCATCATTCTGGAGATTTTAACCAGTATAACTTGAAGACTGTTCTCCCTCACTTTTACCAACATGAGGACTTTGCAGCTTTCCGCCCCCACCTCGGGTCATCAGATCACCTATCTGTCATGTTAATTCCTGCATACAGGCCCCAGCTGATCAGGGTAACAGTGAAGCAGGTCAGAGTGTGGTCTGAGGGAGCCATCAAGACACTCCAAGACTGTCTTGAATGCTCTGACTGGAACATGTTCAAAGCTGCAGCAACATATGATAACAAGATCAATTTTGATGAGTATGCCATGACTGTGTCAGCCTACATCAACAAATGCATTGAGGACGGCAGCATCACAAAGAACATCACCACCCGGGCCAACCAACCACCCTGGATGAATCGGGATGGTTCGAAATTCGCTCTCAGTTGAACTCGAACTCAGTCTTCAAGCGTGATGACAGAGAGGCACTGAGGACAGCGCATGCCAAGTTGAACCAAAGCAGGACCACAGTCAGAAGATCCAAGATGTCTTCCACAATGCAGCTGATAACTTCTTTGGAAGGTTTGGAAAGCTGCACTTTTAAGAGATGAAACTGTCCAGTGAGCTGTTTCCAAACGAAATTTCTTTTTGTTTTACACTTGTGTAAACAAAATGACAAATAAAACTGTCTAAGTTTATTATCAGATGGTTATTTTAAGTAGAATTATAAGTTGTTTTGTTGTTTTATGGTTGTGATTTATGAGTATAGACTTCCAGGCTTAGGTCTACTTTTCTACCAGTTTGGATCTATGAAAGTTTCTCATTATGAAAAATAAGAGGCAGTTAAAGGAAAACTGAATGAGACAAGATCTGCATGATCTGAGAGTGATGGAGGAAGAGATGACCAGCTGTTTAATATTCATTTATTAAGTTGTTTTTACTGATAGCTGCCCTTATAGTTGACCTAATTGCTCACTTCACTCACCTGCCTAACCCTCCCTGGTTACTAATTATCTTTCGACTTATCCACCTGCTCTTCTGCTTTATGTACTGCTCAGCCCAGCTATCGGGGCCAAATCAGTGATGTTTGTCTGTTTGGTTGACTTTGAGTTTTTTTCCATAGTTCAGGTTTTCATTGTCGTAGGCCAGTGGTAAGAGAGGGTTGTAACTATTGTCTTGTCATTTTGTGATTGTGTCGCAGCTCTTATCTACTGAGCGTGCTCTTTTCCTGTTTTAAGTTCTGGAGTTTTCTTGGTTCTGTGTCTAGTTCTGCCTCTCAACTGATGAGCCTGCCTTTTTTCATCTTAACGTGTCTGCCTGAGTTCTCTGCTGGACTCATGGAGTCCTCAACCTGCCTGAACGCTCTGTGGATTCCTGGAACCCTGGATCTGTCTGTTTCTGTTCGGATCAGAACACCTCGGACTCACAGATCTCAGAACTTGCCTATTCTGAACTGTTTCCCTGAGCTGGCTTGGACTTCTGTGTGTTCATGGAGGCTGCTGCATTGGGGACACTCTTGGCGGCTCTGCGCCACATCTCATCTGGCCGTCCATCAGCTGGATCCTGCCTCACCTGAGAAGATGGACTGAGCTGTTAAACCAGGTAAGTGACTCAGATGGTTTTCGTTGTCACTTACTTGTATTTCTCCTTAAGCCAGAGTGCCAGTGATGGGTTGTGCCCTGCCTCTGCGTATTTCTGTTTTGTTTGTCTTAATAAACGCTATAAACTTTCCCACTGTCTATCTCACCTGAATACTGAAGTCTTCTGTCGCGTTATATGACATCTCTAACTCAGAAAGGGAGGTAAGGGTTTATCTGCACTGCTGCAATGGGGCAGAACCAAAGCACAGGTGATTTATGGAGCTCAGTGCTCCTCTGACCTTGTCTCAATTATCAGCAAAGGTGTCAAAACTATAGTTTCTTACTCCAGTAAAGTATAAATCCTACTGCTTACTGTAGGATTTAAGTCTAAGGAAGTTATAATCCAGATCTGTCTACAATTCTGGATGATAACTTCCTTAGGCTCCATTTTCTTAGTTTTATAACTAATGGTAACAGAGTCAAATTTAACTTTGCATCACCTTGAAAAACTATTAATTTTGGTATGTGGTGAACAACAAGTTGGGGCAGCACCGAGTCCTGCCACAAAGAAATTAATTGTCTGGATAAAACAAATTATTTTTTATGGTTTTTATTTATTTTTATTACATAATGAAAATGAGCTTAAATGAAACAAAACTACTGAGTCTATTTTTAAAATGTAGGGAATAGAAAGTAGAGATAATTGCAACAAAAAAGGAGTAGAAGTAAAAAGTTGTTGTTAGTCCAGTAAAGTATAGATAGTTGAAATTCCTTTTTTTTTATTTTTTTTTTTATAATAAATAATAATAAAAAGAAAAAATAGTTGAAATTCCTACTTCAGTAAGGAAACAAAGTTTGCCTGTTTTTCATGAGCTGCCAGGGTGAAGCCTTTAGAGCTTCGTTATGCTGAAGCGATGGAGGCTGACTCCCACTAACAGCAGCTAAAAGGCCACAGCATGTGTAATTTATGATGGTGCTTGGAGGCAGTTTGTGAAAAATACATATTACAGACGTAAGAAGAGAAGGTTGGTGCTGTTGAGCTGACTGACAAGGTCTTCCCCATAAATAAAGCACATACCATCGTGATAACATCAAACGTTCTTCCCCCAGTCAATGAACCCTGAGGACCTGAACTAGATTACAGGATTTAGTTCTCTAAAAAAAATAAAGCAAATAAATAAGGTGAGCAGACTTTCCAGCTGCTGGTTCCTGCTGACTTTTCCAGATATGGGAAAAAAACACCTTTGTAATGTTGAGGAGCCTCGCCTTTATAAATGGAATCTGCTCTAATCTAAAGACGGCACAATGTAAAATAAAGGCGTGTTTTAGGTCAAAGGAATACAGCATTTATGTGGTTTTTTCTATTGTAGTAAAATAAAAACATTTTTATCCAAACAAATGGCTATTTACAAATTGACTATAGTGAAGTAAATAATTTAGCTCTAGTTACACAGATATAAGTGATTGAGTTGAAATAATTTCTTGTCCCCCCCCCCC